TCTTGAGCAGATGCCATCTTCTGTTTTTCTCATTACCAAGATTTACTGTCTTATAAGCTTATTATTGACTGAGGCTTTAAGGCTTCTTCAGGGCTGAGACCAAAGGGAATGCAAACTCCCAATGGCTCCTGTTTCCAGGAGCATCATCTGCTGACACTGTCAGGACCAACCCCGTGCTCAGGGCTGCCTCCCTCAAACCTGGACCCCTCTACTATGCAGCAGAGGCTTTGGCAGCCCAGAAGGGTAGCAAAGAGCTGCAGCATGCCCTGTCCCTGCCATGGGGTGTCCCAGGGCCTCGTGGCAGCCCCTCAGGCTCTCCCCCTCCCACAGGGCAGTTCTAACGCACTGCACTACCAGCGCTTCTGGAAAACTACATTAAATTGGAGCAAGAACTGGGGCTGTAATGCTTAACTGCACACAGCCTCTGTAAAACCATGCAAGGCTCCTGAGCTAAAGTCCTCCCAGAGCACACAAATGCTTTCCCGACCTGCTTTTTCAGGAGAAACTCAGCCCTCCCTTCCAGAATGGGAGGGAAAAAAGGATTTTGTATCCTGCTTCCAGAGGTTTGGCATCCGGGGGGGCCCCGTTTGACCCCAGGGGAGTCTTTGACACGACACGTTTCACCGAGTCAGCGCTTTCAGCAGATGCTGCAACACGGCTGCAGTGGGCTCACTCCTTTTAATTTCTTATGTCCAGCAGCAACGGGCACGTGTCCTTCGACCACTCCTATTCATGTCCTGCACAGATCCCTGCTTCTCTTCCGCAATTCTGGGTAGCGTTTTAAATTAAAAATCCCTTTACTTTGCATGATACAAAGCACTACCAAGTTCCTGTACCTGTTTTGAGGTGATGTAGTTATGCCTGGAGGTCTCCTCTTTACCCTCTCCTAAACTGCTGCGCTTTGGCTTTGCCGTAGTCCAGGCAGGGTGTGAATTCCACTGTTCCCCCAAACAAGACACATATCCCAGACCTCTTGGTGCCAGCTTCCTCAGCGTGATGTTTCTCACCCATGGGCCGGCAGCAGTGGGTATTTGGTGGGAGTGCAGCAAGGCTCCAGCTGTGTACAGCCATGTTTTGGTACATTACAGCTGTGGCCAGAATTGAAGCTGCCAAGACAGGTTACCCAGGAAGGCAATGGAAATACAAGGAGAACAAAACACTGGAGACAGAGCAGAAGAAATGGAGTACACACCAAGAAACTAGTAACAAACTGACTTTTGGGGGATAAACAAAACTAAAACAAAGCAGTATTTGGCTATTTCTGTCCACAGCATATTTAGAATTCCTTCTCCAATAATGTGTTTTTGAGAAGGCAAAAGCATTTCTCAAGCCTTATTTCATGATCAAATTAAAAACCCCACACATCTGTCACCACTCCACCCAGAGCTCTGTACCTTGAGCCAGGTCCTTGTGCCCACAAGGGTCAGGCAATGGGACAGGCAAGGTAAAGCCAACCCTGAGCAGATAGTAGTGATGGCAGAAGCAGCCCTGTGCAGGAACAATGGGCTCAACTTTGGGAGAACTAGGCTCCACGCATGGGAACGGTTCAGAAACCCCAAGTTCGGTTTCTCTCTTCCTCCCCCATGCGTTTTGTGTCCTGTTGGACTCTGCAGAGCTGCGCCTGCCCACAGACGCAGGGAGACATGGCAAGGAAGGGCGCAAGCCCCCACCATCCACGTAACACCAGCCACAGCAACGTTTCTCCCCAAGCCCTCAAAGCAGCAGGCAGAGGTAGTGCAGGCAAACAGTGCTGCCAGCCTGAGCCCTCCCTCCACCTTAGAGCTTCTCCTGCCCTGCTTGTGCTGGTGACTGGGTTTGTGCTGAACAGGCAGAGCTCTGCTGGGGAGGGTGGGGTGCTCCATAAATAACAACAGAAACTGTTATTGCAGAACATACCCATAGAGAGCAACCGCGATCCCAGCGTGCTGCTCATCCCCTGCGTGTGTAACCCACATAATGAAGACGCAACCCACCCCAGCAGACAAACTAAACAGCAGGTTTCCAGATGTCCACCCTGCTTGCCCATCTCAGACTCCTAATCCCCTGCTTTGTCTGAGCTCTAGCTCATTTCTGATGCATTCAGATTATGCAGCAAGCATAAATACTTGTGAACATCTGAATATTCCCCCCCCATCTCACATTTCACATTGGAGGAGAAGCACTTTACAGAGCCCAGGCCCTTCTTTATCAAGCCAATTAGTGTAACACAAAAGCAGTGAACAGAACCAGCCAAAGCTCAATGGCCTGTAAAATACCCAATATTTGAGAAAGGCTGAGGCCAAATATAACTGTTTCTTAAAAGAAGGAAAAGCCAAGGGTGAGTAACTGGAGTGCTGGCCTTTCCAACTGCATTAAAAAGAAAACCCAGCAAATTCATCTAACATACAAGGCAGTTCATCTGCCATAAAGGAAAGTTTACAAACAGAGCTGCTATCATTCCTTCTGTAACATTGGACGACCAAAGTTTGCGAGGAACAAAAGGAAATGATTAACAGGGGAAATATGCATGGTACAAAAAAGACTTTTTAGTCCAAAAAGGGATGTCCATATTTAGAAACACTTGATTCCTGTTGTCAGGGCCTTGCTTTTTCCTGAATGTGTTTCTCCCCCATGAAAGAAAAGTCACAAAGGGAGTTTGTGCGCAGCCATGTCACATGCAGACAGGGCATTGCCTGGTTTTCTTCCAGGATTAAGGGAAACACTCAAAGATTCCAGAGCAAGCAAATAAATAAATAATCACGTCCATATTTAGGAGGCTGCTTCCAGCAAACCAGCGGCTCCTCCAGCGGGATCCCCTCTCCCACCACAAGCACCCTGAGCCCTTGTTGGGGTGGGCTGTCCCCATGGGACCCTCCCCTCGGGGCTGCCAGAGGCAATCCTGCTCATGGGGATTTGCAGCTCTGCTTTAGGAGAGGCTGGCAGCTCCATAACATGCTCCAGCACAGCCGGCACCTGAGCGTGGCCTGGAATTGGGTAAATGGGGAAGAGACCCTACCAGAGACCCTACCAGAGCACCTCTGAAGGGCAGGAAGCTCCTGTTTAGCAGGATGAGAGTATAAATGAAACCACATATATACTTCCCATACATGCATTAATAAACCCCTTAGCTTGCCCCACAGCAGCCTATTCCTGTTCCCTGTCACGAGAAGGTAATCCCAGCCCAAAAAGCACACTACAGACACTGGTCACAATCACAGCCCAACATATTCCATTGGCCATAACTATCTCCATTACAGACCTGAGCACAAGCAACAGCAAACATTTTTAAGGCCACCATTCCCTTTCTGTTACCAAACCTTATCTCACAGGGCCGGCTGTGAAATAGAGCACTATATGGTCCCTGACACAGAGGGAGAGCCTGTGGGCTGGATGCTGTCTGCTCAAGACCCAGAGACCTACATCCCTCAACTGCCTCCCGCTCCCATTTCCCACCCCCATCACGACTGCTGGGGGCCACATGCATCAGCCAGCCCAGCACACTGCATCCTCCACCCTCACCCCAACACTGCCATGAGCTGAAATCTTCCCTGAAGCACCTGACTACCAGGAAAACATAGGCCAGTCTCTTCCCAAAACTTGGGGGTAAGTTACACAACCTCAAATAAGCCATCGGGTCCCATCTACTGACCGTGGCTGCTTTGCTGGGTAGAGGGAGAGCTGGGGCAGGGAATGGGAGAACAGGTGAAGAACAGGGTCTTTAAAAGCTAAGAGATGTGTGAAACAAGCATTGTGGGGACATTTATCTGGAGGGTTTGAGGAGGAACACAGAGAAGAGGGGTTTAGGGGCTTCCTTCTACTTTGCACTTGGAAAGATCAGCCTGAACTGCTGTTGGAATTGGCTTTTTAAGATGTCACCTTCTAGTAAATGAGGAGCACCAAGGATGATGTTCCCTGAGTCTGAGTGGTTTTTTTTTGGTGCTCCCCACATATAAGTAATCACACAATAATGGAAAAGTTGAAGGGCTGAGCTTTTAAGGGAAGCACCACTTTCCCCCTAGCAAAGTGCTAAGAGGGGAGAGCAGCATACTGCAGAGACGCACAGGGAAGAGCAGAAAACCAAGGCCAAGTCCTCCTACGTTCAAAACCATCCAAGGCCTTTTGCAAGTTGCCCTCAAGGTTGAAAATACCAGGTCTGATCTAGCCGATTTGTTTGCTGGACAACAATCTCTGGTGGGGAATCACTGGCAAATGAAAGAGAAGCTAGTGTGGAGCAAGAGATCTTTTATTAGACAACACCACTTGGTCAGGTTTTATTCCACTTCCAGACTTTTACTGATGCCTTCACCTTTGATCTTGGTTTGAAAGATCTCCCAGAAGCTTGCAATAGACAAGTTGCTATATGAAGCAACAAAGTAAAGCAACAGAAGACCCAGTGCTGTTCTCCCTGCTAGTGGGGAGTGAGCTTCACCAGGAGCTACAGGCAGCAATACCTCACACAACTGCAGAAGCCAAGCCCAGAACAGATCCCCAGCCTGATGTCTAAAGCAGAAGCGAACAAAACTTGACCAACATACATGTTTCAAGAAAACTGTAAACCAGTTGCCTCTGTTTCCACCTTTCTGTTTTGCAAGACCATGAATTATTGCTGGTACATCCCAGGTAACACAGAGTAAGAGCAATCACACAGTAATTAGCAGCAGGCAAGGGGCATTTGTCTCCAGCAATCCCTCAAGCCACTTCACCCTTCTACAGGTATTAATTTTCCAAACTAACATGAAGCAAATTCTAAGCTTCACAAAGCAGCAGTTAAAACACTTACAAGGAATAAGCTCTCAAAACAACAAAGGCAGGCTATGTTTGATTACTGTTTTTTAAAAAGAGCATTTTTCTGATTTGAAATACCTGCAGGAGCTTTCCAAGGGGACGGGCTGTGAAGAAAAAGTGACTCTAGCATTCACAGCAGTGACTCCCTCCTTACACAGGCTTGGCTACAGCAACATGCAAGAGGGGCTGCTCCCTGGGTGCCTTGGAGGGATACACCCAGACAGAAGCGGGCCAGGTGGCAGGTACAGCACAGAGCAGCAGTACCTGCAGTTCAGAGGATCAACAGTCAACCACAAATACCACCAGAACACCCAGTCCCACAGCTTGGTTCCCAGCTGTGATTTTCCTGGCTGCTGGACTCAGCTAAGGACATGAAGTCAACCATGCCAGAGGACACAGCCACAGGGCAGGTATCCACTTACCAGTTAACACATTTTAATCTCCCAACATCAACAAGATAAAGATGTGCTTTTACACATTCCAGCTTCCAAAGGTCTTAACCCCACCACAGCACCAGTTTGCTGCTCCACACAACAACCCAGGCTCCCCAGCCCTAGAGAGGTCATTTGCCATTTCTGCTCCAGCTTAACAGAAAGACTAATCCCAGTTTAGCTACTTCAGAGGCATTCCTGTGAGGCCATGCCACATCCAGGAACAAGACAAGATACTCACCACCCAAGAGACTTAACTGCCAGCTCTAACAGGGCTGTGACTGCTTGCTCCTGCCTAACTTAGGGATCCAGGTGCAGGGAGGTGCTCAGGCAGGAGCTGTTAGCAGCAAGCAGCTCCAATCAAGATCGTTAGCACAAGCCATAAACCACCCCTCATCCACCTCGTGCTTCAGCATGTACTTATCAGAACGACGAGATGTTTGCAGAGCACTCTGAACACAGGCTGCCAAACGTTGCCCAAGCAGAAGCAGGCACACACTACACTCCCAACAGAGCCCAGCCTGCTGAAAAAGGTTGAAGACATCTCACACGGTGCGAATCCCTGTCAGGCATGCTCACTACCTGGTCCCTTTTCCACTCCAAGCTGAAACGCGTTGTTTGTTTGGCAAGAGGGTTTCCAGCACACTTTGTTTTGCAGCACAGCTGCAATTTGTAATTCAGTTTATTGCATTTAAATGTGGTACAGCCCTAGTGGAAAGCAGTGTGTCACTTGTCACAGTTCTTCCAGCTATCTTTTAGAGGAAAGCAAGCTCAGGCTAACATTCAGAGAGGGAAGCGTGGGGCTTGCCAGAAAGCAAACAGAAATACTGCCGTAAGTGCAGCATCCTCCTCTCACCCCCAGCAAAGCCAGCAGGGACATCCCATCCCAGCCACTTCTGGTCCCAGCCCAGATTCCCAAAACAGCAGAAGAGGGCTTACTCAGGAGATGTTTTTCTGCCCATGGAACAACAGTCTGAGTGAGCAGAGGGAAAGCATAAATGCTTGGCGGCTGCCAGAATTGTGCTGGAGGCTGGAAGCAAAAAGCCATTCACCTGCCACCACCTGAGCCAGAGCCAACACAAGCCCCCACACCTCTCTGCTGTTCCTGCAGGGTTTATTGGGGGTGAATTAAACTATGTAAGAATCAGCTGTTCAAAGAGACCAGGCAAGAGAGATGCTTTGTGTCCCCAGTATGATCCCCAAAGCAGGCTCTCACCTTCCCGTGGACCTCTGTTAGAGCTGCAGCCATTTGCTGCTAATTGATTCTACATGCATTTGGACTAGGATTTTTAATTAATTTTATTACAGGAACAATTAATGCCCTGCTTCCCCACAGATGCATTAGGGTACAGACACAAGGGGTAAGAAACCATTCTGCAGCGTGGTTTTCCTTGTGTCTATTTGCAGGGAGCTAACCCTACACCCATGGTAGGGTGTCCCCAGTGCAGTCCCTCCACTACAGCCCCTCCTCTAGTGTAATGGCTCATACCAAGTATTTCAACTGAATTTAGGAATGTAAAGGCTATAGAGCAGCAGGAGAACCTCGATCCTCTGCCACTCCAGGTCATGCTAATAGATTGCTGCGCCCGTTTTTGGCTCTGGCCTGCACAGAGCAGCTTGACAGCCCCATTAATCACATTGCCCCCCAGCTGGTTTGATTTCAGAGGGATGTGGTGCATTTTGGTAGCAACTGTGTTCTCAAGCCTATGTAGAGTCCTGAGTGCAAAGCAAGTGGTACCAACCACAGGAAATCAGCTTCACCATGTGGATCTGTGCTTTCAGGCAGGACCCTGCCTGCCTCTGCCCCATATCAGCACCAGCAGATGCTTCCCCTTGAGCAAAAGTTCTCACACCTCTGACACTGCTTTATAGGCATCTAGAGGGACCAGCACACCAAGCCAAGTCATCCCCTGTGCCTCCTCAACATCCCCTTTCCCTAACCAAGCCCCTCATCCTCACAGCCCACCTCAGCCTGACTTCAGCAGGACAGGGGGGGATGCAACAAATCACATTTTGTATTTTGGGAATCCAAGCAGTCTCACAGCCAGCTCTGCCAAATTCATATGAGGAAGTCTCTCTTCATTCCTTTCCCTCCCTTTCCCCAGATCTGTTCCATCATTACCCTTTCTCTACATACAGCAGAGTTAATAAGACATACTCTGCTTGGCTCACGACTAAAGTCGAACTAGAAGTTTGAGCTGTACAGCAGCGCAAATCAGTTGTTTGCTTTAAAACACCACAGGCACTTCAAAGCACAGCATTTGGGGGTTGCTCCATCAAAAACAGAGCTGGGTCAAATTAAGCAGTTCCCAATATTTGAGATGACATCTCAGAACACAAAAAAACGGGGGGAAGGAAGGGGGTAAATCATGTGTTATTTATACACATTCACATTATGGTATTTACCAATGGCAGAGTACTGGGGGCAGAAGCATCATCTCTACATCTGCAATAGTCAAATTTGAGTCTCTGGGGTCCTGCACTAGCATTGTATTGAACAGCATCTCCACAGCAGGCTGTATTTTAGCCATCTGCAGAGCAGGAACACGTAGTATACCACAAGGTCCAAGACCTTAATCAAGCCCTACAAGTCAATAGATTTCCAATATAATGAAGACAAAGAGGTGTCAGCTCTAGTTCTTATTTGCTAATACTATCAATAGGGGCTCAGCTCACTGGCAGTTAATTCAAAGCCAAGCCCGATTTGCACAGCAGTGATGTACACTAATTCCCATATGTAGCTAAGGGGAGATTTTGCCAACCAGACAAAAGAAACAGTATTAGAGCTCCTGAAACAATGCCATCACTTTTTGTTGCTCCACCACTTCCCCACCAATTTTCCACGTGCTGGGATCTCCAGGTGTCCTCTCCTGCATAGCTGAAGACATGCAGAAAGGATAGCAAATACAAAGGTACCTATTTCTTTTTTCCAGACACCAATTTGAGGCTTTTAAAATGTAACTTCCTATAAAATGGGGGCTAATTTCACACTTGGTTTTTTTTGTGCATTAAAGACAGTAAATGCCATAATTAAGCAATTATAGCAGTATTTCTAAATGATCCAACTGCAACTTAACCTTAAAAGAGTTGCTACATGTTGCTATGTTTCATAAAGTTTATTAGCTCATTTCATCCAATACCAAGTTTTGCTTGGTATTGCTTTCAGGTTCTAGTCCATCTCAACTCTTTTGCCAAAATACTACAATTGTTGAGAAGTCACAGGAAGCCAGATGTGCTACCCAATTAGGCAACAGAGCTGTTTTATCCACATTAGAAGTAGTCACTGCCTGTGAGCCTGGCCCTCATTAATCTGCAGTTAGGTTCAAATGAAGCAGTGGCAGCAGCCCATACTCAACAGTTTACACTAATGAGTTACCCTGTCCTGCACACAGTAGTCCGCAACTCTGACCTGCTGTTAATGCGAGTATCCTCACACCCCATCTCCTTCTTGCTGCCAAGCTAACACCAACTGCTAACTACAGACAGCACAAGGGTAGTGAATGGGTGCTGTAGTTGTCCCAGTTCATGCAGTTTCCATGCTAAGGGAAAATTAGGTTAGCCATAGCTGAAGACCAGGTACTACTCTTCCCTTCCAATGGCTGCAAAACAGCCCCAGCTTGGATTTGAAAGATGGCAATGATACAGCCAGCTGGTCACCCAAGAGGAGAGAGACCTGCATAACTCCCCCAACCCACCTCATAGGACCCAGCTCCTATTAGAACTTGCATGGTTAGAGAAAGGACACAGACCAAGTACCTGTGCCACACTCCTGCTTCAGCAGGGAATAAGACTAGGCGCCTGGCTCCTGCCAAGAATCAAGATGCTAGAAAAAACCACAAGTCTGAAACAGTTTAACACAGGACAAAAAAGGCACATTTTAATATGTACAGCAATGCATTTGGGCTATAAATTTACCCAACACAACTGGAAAAAAAATCCAAACTATGCTTTTATACTTATTCCATGGTGTCAGCCTCATTCCTAGCCACCTACCTTTCTCTGCATCTCTGAATGCTGCTATATACACACACAAACAAACAAGTCATGAATGTTCATTTAGGCTCCCAAGTTCAAGTAATAAAGTTCAAACTTGCATAGCATCTTATGCCACTCAGCCATAAACAGTTACGATTGCATATTAGCTGGAGCAGCCATCTCTTTCAATTCAGCCAGTTTTGGCTGGCCACCATTTTTTATTTAAATCCTTGAGTCAGAATGTTTCCTAAGTCACCAGCCCTGAGGGATGCCACAGACTTCAAAATGAACCTCTTGCTGTTGTCAAGATCCTTTAAAACCAGAAATTTAGAGTGTTGTCAAGAACAGTTTTAAAAATGTAATACTGTTTATTTTGCTTCAAAAACATTTCAGCATTCTAAACATACAAAAAAAACAGAACGTTGCAAATTCGTTTAAGTACAGAGTGTTTTTGAACTTCAGGTGCTGCACTGGCTCTTCCCTTAGTTGACGATGAAGAGATGTCTACAGTTTCAGTTTAAAAACTACCGCACTTAACTAAAAAAATCCATACACTTCTCATGCCAGCTGAACCCCCTTTCCACAACTAAGAATGGCAGCAGAATGCTATTTCACTATATACAGAAAGACAACTTTAAGCTAAATGGACGCCCACTGTAGTGTAAATAGATCTACCCTCACAGTGCATGCTTTGGGCCATGGCACCCTGGGGAACATACAACCTTTCCAAGTAATCACTGCTCCTCTAAGGCATCATAACTCTAAGCATGTACCACAAGAATCTGTCTAGTTTTTACAAACTATAGATATGTACAGTTTATAACCCAGGATTTTCTAGCCAATAACCATATAGTAACACCACCTTACAAATTAAAAAATGCTTGAAACATTTTTAAATGCTTTGTTACACCAACAGCAAAGTGCACAGAGTTAGGAGAACACTAGAGCGCCTTTTCATTTTAAAAATGTTTGGAAATATGTACAACTTTGATACAGTTTCAGGGTGCTCGCTACACCCATGGCCACTTCATGTAAACCAGTTACAATTTTCTAGAGCACTTTTAGAAACTACAACGCGATCGGAATCCAAATTTTTTTCTTTTTTTTTTTTTTAATTAAGCCTAATAAGGGCAAGAGACACCATCTCAAATAAGAGGTGCTTCATTTACGGTGTTTCCCCTACTCTATGGTATTCACATGGAGACAAGTATTGTACAGTTTTATTCATCATCATCATCTTCATCCTCCTCTTCTTCATCCTCCTCCTCCTCTTCGTCTTCTTCCTCTACCTTTTTCCGAGCAGCTTTGGTTGCTGCTCCCTTTGCGCCATCAAACTTTCCTTTAGACTTGTAGTCTGCAACATCCTGCAAAGTCAAGGGGACGTCTTAATTTGCTCTAAGCGGCAAACACACAGCATTTGTACAGCAGCGGGTGTTAACGTAAAGGGACTGGCTTTCCACAGCTGCACCTCCAAAAGGGGCAACACCCAGAGTTATGGTACACAGGTATGCAGACACCTA